GAAATTGTTAACAGATTCTCACATGAAATGGATCCAAGGTTACATTTCGCAAATTCAAAGTCGCAAGGGTTCAGAGCCTCGTCTCATCTATTACCTCTCACAAAGTTTGCTTCGGCACAAATCCAAATCAAAGCACTTTGGTAGAAGCGAAGCAACGTTAGTACTATGAAAACTGTGTTGTCCTTTCTCGTTGTTGCCCTTGTGAGCCTTCCTGGTTCGCTGGCTCGAGTTGGAACTTCTCACGTTGCCGATGAAGATGATCATCATCCTCGAGGACTCGAACGCGCCCTGGATGATGCCATCACCTACCTGAATCCATCCACTATCGACTACAATCGCGAGGGCAAAAAGATCAATCCAAGCAAAGGTGGAGACTTGTTCGATGGCTACCCCGACTTTCCTCACTCTTCAATTGGTTTCCTGTGGCAAGACGATGACGATGCAACGATCAAATGGAGACCTCAAGGCATCAGTGGCTTCGAGTACGATGGAAAAGAGTACTTGTTGGTGTCATGGTATGGCAAAAAGAAGAAGCGCAGGTTTGACTATCGCAACCGCGGCTTTCGCGTCAGCTTTGTTGACATTACCGACATGGACCGCATCAAATATCGACACATTCTCTTCGTCGACGAAGACGGCGAGACTTACGAGGACTGCCATGCCGGGGGCCTCGCCTTCAAGGATGGTGTGCTTCACATCCCCGACTCCAGAGGATCTAATGACCAGATCCTAACCTTCCCTATCGATGCCATTGAGGAGGTTGATGCCGACTCATACTACAACTATAGGTATGTGATCAGAGCAACCGGTTCTTACACGATGCCCATCAACCCGTCTTTCCTGGGATACGACCCAATCGACGACCAATTCTTGGTAGGCTCCTTTCTTCAGAACACAGATGACAACAAGGGAAAAGCGAAGAGCTTGGGATGGTACAGCGAGGACTCCACCGAAGATGTTTCCGTTTGCGCTGACTTCTTTTGGGAGATGCAAGGTGCCGCAAAAACCAATATCGAAGGCGTCGATGTCCTCATTGTGTCTGCCAGCTATGGACGGAGCAAGGAAAGTAGGCTTTTCCTGGTGAACTTTGACGAATGCAGCGAAGAAGACGCTCCCATGGATGACGAAATGAAACGAAAGAAGATCATGTACCCTCCTGGGATGGAGGATGTCCATGTTTCCCCCACATCTGAGTATGTCTGGTTCCTCACCGAATTCGGTAAGAAGGAACGACTCCCCTTCACTCCTGGCGCGAAGAATCGACGTGTGACCTTTGCAATCAAGAAAAGTAAGATTGTTGATTTGCTTGGTGTGGAAGCCGACTCTAGCGACTCCAGTGACTCCAGCGACTCTGGCGAAGGTGAGTAGTTTGATTGATTGAGTTCAAGATGCGCAAGAGGGTACCGTAGGATCGATAACTGCATAGACCATTAGCCATTTCTAAAGAAGGGTTTTTCTAAAGGGTGGGGAGGTTCTCGACAGGAGCCATCGAAGGCCATTGTTGTTGGATGAGCCGTGCTTCCTCAAAGTAGCATTATACTTCGTTGTGCACACAGAGAGCAGGTTCTTCTCCTTTTGGAGCATAGTCACAGGTGCCTCCACGACAGGCACAGCAGGCTCCAGGCATATGTTCCTCCACCTTTGAGCCCCTTTGCGATCTTCCCAGCAAGAGCACTTGTTCATGCTCACGTACTCTCTTCCTAATCACAGCTGCGGATAGAACATTGTTGCTTTCTGGATATGCTGGATTGTACGTCTGGTTTTCTTTTGCAGGACGTCGAATGTGCCAGTTCACAAAGGTTTGGTGGGCGTTGGCTTGGGCCAGTAGCTGGATGGGGCGACGCGTCTCGAGGAGAATCTCCCGAGTCATCTCTTGTCGGAGCGTCGAAAGAGCAGCGGATCGGACGTTTTCTGCTTCCATATTATCGTTCAGCCTTGTTTATTGTTGGATTGTCCAAGCCAGAGGGAGGAAGGGCAGGGATCATACGCCGCCGGGAAAAAGACAGATCGATCACTTTCTTTCCGATGCACGCTTACGCGTGGTCTGAATAGATGGCGGCTTCGAGTTCTCAAAGTTGAGTCTACAGAGTGCTCTCCTATGCATGGTGGTGGCCGCGGCCTCTTGAACTTTTGACATGATATGCAAAATGAGTGATTGGGTATCCTTTGAGCCAAACCACAATCAAGTCAGCATGCCGGTACCGGTACCCCTGCTCCAGAAAGAGACATCTCATTTCCTCACGCGTCGAGTCTTGCACCTTCTTTGTTGGCTTCAATTATTACAAGTTTAATAGCGTTGCTCCTGTCCTTGACGAGCTTGTCGCTTAACCAGATTGATGGTACCATACCGGTATGCTGGAGGAGGGAGGCGTTGGGCTGAAGGGTTCCATGAAGTGGACAA